GCACAAGTCAGCCACAGGAGGAGCAGGGATCAGCCACAGAAGGGGCATGGATCAGCTGAAGGAGGAACATGGGTCAGTCACGGGAGGAGCACAGGTCAGCCTCGGGAGGAGCAGGGGTCAGCCTCGGGAGGAGCATGGGTCCGCCGCAGGAGGAGCATGGGTCTGCCACGGGAGGAGCATAAGTCAGCCACAGGAGGGGCACGGATCAGCTGAAGGAGGAACATAGGTCAGTCACGGGAGGGGCACCGGTCAGCCTTGGGAGAAGCAGGGGTCAGCCATGGGAGGAGCACGGGTCAGTCACAGGAGGAGCACGGGTCAGCCTCGGGAGGAGCAGGGGTCAGCCACGGGAGGAGCACGGGTCAGCCTCGGGAGGAGCACGGGTCAGCCTCGGGAGGAGCACAGGCCAATAGCAGCATGGTGTCTCTCCGAGGAAGAGCATAGCTCAACCGCAGCACGTGGTCTCAGGAGGCTCCGTGTTAAACAGCATCTCTGAAACAGATACTCCCAGAGGCCGGCAGCCACTTCCCTGCAGAGCAGGCACAGTGATCAAAACGCGCTGCCGCGGTGGAAATCTGGTCATGCATAAAAGGAGCCCTTCTCTTTCAGAGACACGCTGAAATATCACCAGATGAGATGACCTGCTATCTGGGATTTACTCCAGAATGACATGGCGGGGGAGCAGCGTGGGCACACATGTGGCCAGACTGGCCACGAGCAGCTGGCAGGAGCCAAGGGACACCAGGGGCTGGGACGTGACTGAGCCTACTGTGGTGTGTTTAAAAGTTTCTATATTTAGAAAATTAAAACATAAAACACTCAAAAATTAAATAAAATGTCTGGAATTTCTTTTTTATTATTATTATACTGTAAGTTCTGGGGTCCATGTGCAGATCATGCAGGTTTGTTACATAGATACACACGTGCCACGGTGGTTTGCTGCTTCTGTCACCCCGTCACCTACATTAGGTATTTCTCCTAATGCTATCCCTCCCCAGCCTCTCACCCCCCTGCTATCCCTCCTCTAGTCCCCCACCCACCAACAGACCCTGGTGTATGATGATCCCCTCCCTGTGTCCACATGTTCTCATTGTTCAACACCCACTTATGAGTGAGAACATGTGGTATTTGGTTTTCTGTTCTTGTGTCAGTTTGCCAAGAATGGTGGCTTCTAGCTTCACCCATGTCCCCCATAAAAAAGGACATGAACTCATTGTTTTTATGGCTGCATAGTATTTCATGGTGTATATGTGCCACATTTTCTTTATTAAGTATTTCTCCTAATGCTATCCCACCTACAGACCCCACCCCAACCCCACAGGCCCCAGTGTGTGATGTTCCCCTCCCTGTATCCATGTGCTCTCATTGTTCAGCTCCTACTTATGAGTGGGAGCATGCGGTGTTTGGGTTTCTGTTCTTGTGTTAGTTCACTAGAATGATTTCCAGCTTCATTCATGTTCCCACAAAGGACATGAACTCATCCTTTTTTATGGCTGTATAGTATTCCATGGCGTATACGTGCCACATTTTCTTTATCCAGTCTATCACTGATGGGCTTTTGTGTTCGTTCCAAGTCTTTGCTATTGTGAAAGGTGCCACAATAAACACACGTGTACATGTGTCTTTACAACAGAATGATTTATAACCCTTTGGACATACACCCAGGAATGGGATTGCTGGGTCAAATGGTATTTCTAGTTCTAGATCCTTGAGGAATCGCCACACTGTCTTCCACAACGACTGAACTAAAAAAGCCAATTGTGCGCACACACCAGGAAGAAACATTGGAAAACGTCATATTCAGAATGGTACCACTTACAACAGCAGGGGAAAAACCTTTTACTCTGTTGAAATGAATTTAAGCAAAGATATGTAAGATCTTCATAGAGAAAGTTATAAGACTTCACTGAAAGATGTTGAAGAAAACTTCATAAATATACAGACATCGGTGCTTGTTCACGGACTGGAAGGCTCAGAACGATAAAGAAGTCACTTCTCCCACGCAGACGCAGGCGACGCCAGGCGACCCCAAACTCCAGCGCGCGACAGGTCATCCTAAACCTTATGCTCAACACCAAACGGTCAAACACACCCAACACACTTCTGTAGAAGAAAAGAGGGGTAATTCATTCTAAAAAATACTGAGAATTATAGAAAAGCTATAGAAATTAAGGTGGATTTAGGCACAGGAATAGCAGGCTTGACCAGAGAACCCAAATGGGAACTTTAACCACCACAGAGCTGTCACTATAGGTCTGCAGAAGAAAGGAGGAATAAACAGTTCACACAATTTGTTCTTCAACAGAGAAAAACAACTTTAGAGCTTCCTCTCCACCCTCATCCCACCTCACACCATAAACAAAAATCAAAGGTCAATTAAACATAAAAAGCAAATTGTTCAATCTTTAGCGAGAAGTGAAAGATGACAGCATTACCATCTTGTGATAGAAAGTGCGAGCCCTGAGGGAGAGATGGATAAACCCAAGGCCATCCCGGCTAGGAACTTCTGCTTCGCAGCACACATCCCAGAGGAAGCCGGCCCGGCCTGGGTTGGGCTGTCTAAACCCACCTTACGAGGCTTTCCTCTCCAGAACACAGGCGGGAACTCCGCAAACCATAAGCACAAGACAAACCCAAGGGAAAAACAGACAAAGTGCTCACTGGCAGGAAGACCCAACGCCCAGTAAACATGAAAAGGTGACCCACACCACTCATCATCAGAGAAACACCCCTTCCAACCAGAGGACAAGCCACACCCACCAGTTCAGCAAGACGTCGCTGTCCAACACCCCCTGGTGCTGACAAGCATGTGGGAGAGAAGGGCTCTGACGGGGCCCGCATGGACTCAGCTGCAGGTGGTCTGGCCCAGGAACGCCACCCCATGGCCTGCGGAGGCCCTGGCCACGGGCACAGGCTGTGAGAGACAACATGGGAGCCAGCCTCAGTGTCCCTGAGACCCGGAACAGGCGCAGACACCACGGGGTGCTCACAGAACCACCGACACGACACAGCGCAGGAATCAAAGGAGCCACAGCCATGCACAATGTGGAGGCGCTCACAACACGGCACGGAAAAGCAGCACGCCGCAGAGCAACGCACGTCGCCCGAGCCCAGGGAAGTGAAACCTGCACGGCTCAGCAGCACGCGGCTCACAGGGACATTCAGACGCACAAGAAAATGACCAAGAAACAGCAAATGTGACACTTCAGGGCAAGGAGGAAAGAGGCGGGGGAGGAGCAGGACCCTGTGGGTCAGGCTCACCATCTCAAAACTGTGGGGTCCAAACCCATATCCGCACCCCACGCACACGTGTGAACCATGAACACGTGCGCACACACATGAACACACGCGCGCGCGCAGACGCGAACACACACAAACATGTGCACACACGCACACGTGCACGAACACAAACGAAGTCTCGTGTCTCCCTAGCATGCCTCGGAACACATTTTTAAACATAAAAGATCAAGCAGCTGACACAGTGCCCTGCCTAAGGTGCCGCAGGCTCCCTTGGCCCATGGAAGGAACCTCCATCCACACCAGCCCATCTCCCAGGACCCTCTCATTCATCCCAGACCTGCCTCCTCCAAGGTCCTCCTCTACTCTCCACTAAGCACGCCCTCCTCAAGGGCCCTCCCTCACCTCCTTAGTTCAAGGAGCCCACTGCTCTGGGCCAGCAGTCCAAGAACCTGGGTCATTTCCTCCCTAACACACAAGAAAGAGGATCTCAGAACCATCCCAGTCAGAACACGGACCCCCTAAGGGCATGGGACTCACTTGTCTCTCTGCCTCCCACCTGACCCCTAGAATACCTACTGGCACACAGCAGACAGTGGATCAATGGTCCAGGCAGGAAGGAGAAAAGGGAGGCAGTGGCAGGAGGAGACCAGGCCGGGGTGGCACTCCCGGGGGCAGGAAGGATGTGGGCATCCTGGAGGACCTGGCCTGCGAGGCGCTAAGTGATGATGGCAAGATGAGGAGAGGGCTCTTGGTGATGTCACCAAAGGCCATCTGCACCCATGTCCCCCTGGCTTCCCTCCTATCCCAGCAAGGCTGAGGCAGGCACCAGCAGCCCTCCTGAGCACAGGCTGCTCCCTCTCTGCAGGGCTGGTGGAAAGACAAACCCAGAGCCCTGAGGGTCGCCAAGGAGCCAGGGAGGGCCCCTCACCCAGCCTCATTCCCTGAACAGGCTGCCCTGGGGACCAGCCTTAGCCAAGAGCCAAGCAGAATTTCCAGGGAGGACACTCACAGCCCAGCAGAGAAGCGCCCCAGGTGGAGGAAGACCCTGCTGCACAGCTGGCTGAGCCTGAGGCCCGGCCCTGGGAGGAGAGGTAAGCAAAGGGCTTGAGCCCCGACGCAGTCCTCTTCCCGCACCCAGACAGCCCTCATGGCGGCCGCCCTGACCCAGGCATCAACGCATGGGCCTGCTCTCTTGAAGGGCCAGATCTGTGAGCCATACTGACGGCAGAGGGGAGAGCGGGGCAACCGTGGCATTCGGGCGCCATGATGGTCAAAGGGGCCAGTCTGCAGGGCCGCGGTGGACGAGGTGAAGGGGAAGAACGGGGCTCAGTGCTCTGAAATACCTGCAAACAGATGCCAGCTCCACCCTGCACCAGCTACACAGCCCTGGGGTGATGTTAGCAGCCCCGGGGCCTCAGTTTCCCCCTCTGCACAGAATGCCTGTCCCACACCACCATGAGGAAGGTCAGGTGAGTCTTCCCTCCCCTTGGCCATTCTCCACCCACCAGAAGCCTGGTGCTCTGAGCACCAGCTCCATGCCAGGCATCAACTGGGACACCCAGGTCTGCTTGCAGGTGGGGCACAAACTCCTCCTGCTCCTCTCCAGGGGCCTGAATCGCCTGAGCCTGGCAATCACTCCCCATCTTAGGACAAAGGCAACTTTTCTCAAAAGAACAGAACTGGTTACAGCTATCGGCATGACACAGTGAGGACCCTACCAACTGCCATCACCCCCCATCCCCACTGCCAGCTACCATGATTACCTAGGGGCTGATAGCCTTGTCTTGAGGGTCCCCCGACAGGGCCACGGCTCCCCAGGCCACCTCCGCCAGCAATGGATCCGTATGACATCTTCTTACAGACGCCAGGGCCAGCAGCCTCCGCACCAAGCTGGAGGAAACAGGAAAACCAGGGGGACAGGGAGAAGAGACAGGGATTAAAGCTCCAATTCAGGGCCTCCAATCACACAGCGGCCTCCCACCCTCCCCAGCCCCAGGAGCCTGGCTCCACTGCACACACTCCCTAGGCTACACAATCCTTAGGTTTCTCACCAGCCCCCTAACAGGAGCCCCCACAGAGCCCCTTCAAGGTGACCTCTTGGTCCACTGGTCCCTACAGGAACACAGAAACACAACCTGAAGAAGGCGTGCCCCAGCCCCTCCCAACAGGGACCCCCTAGCAAGGTGAGCCCTCTGGTGGGCTCTTAAAAACCAACCACCCCCCTGCCAGCCTCCCAGCTGGCTTCTAGGAGCACTGGGCCCCCACTGTGCCCCGACAGGCAGGCAGGATGGCATCCACTGCATGTGAGCCAGGCCCAGATCAGGCTGAGAACATGGCACTCACGCAGCCAGCCAGCATCTCCAGCTCCGTTATCCTGAGCCGCACCCCACGGTAGTGGGGCTGGGTCAGACCCGGGTGGCTCTGCCTTGGCTGAATCCAACCTGCGCAGCTGGGCACAAGCCATGGGGCCTCATCTGTGAAGCAGGGGAAGAAGCGGACCCGCATCTCAGGCGGCTGTGAGAGGTGACTGGACAGACATTAGGACTGGCGAACAGTAAGCACCCAACACATAAGTCATGGCACTGGCGCCATCCTGGGCGTGGCACTGGCTATCCTTGGCCTGGGGAGCTGGGCATCCTGCCCAAAGCTCTCTTCCACAGGCTGCAGCTCCAGGGACTCAGAGCAAGTGACCAGAGGACAGAAGGAAGTGCTCCTGCTCAGACACTGCCAGCAGGTCCTCCCTGTGTGCAGGGTCCCTGTGCGGACAGCTTCTGACTGGCCTATACCCTAATGCTGTCACTACGGAGCCCACCAGCCAGACCACACTCGGTTCTAAACACTGTGGGTGGCAAGGACTCCACCCACAAAAACACCTGAAACGGGAAGGCAGGTTTAAGAGCAAAGTGAGCCTTGCGCCCACTGAGTGCAGCCCAAGTCCCTGGGGCTGCGGGAGGCGTGTGGCCCCACGTTCCCTCCCGGCAAGACGCCTGCCTGTCCCATCCAGTCCCCCAGAGCAGGGCAGCACCAGCACACCATCGACCCAGTGGGCCCCACTGCCCCGCTCAGAACAGTCTGGGACCCAAACAGCTCTGATTGCTGCAGACTGCACCTGCCAACATCCACCGCATTAGAAACTCAAACGGAGCCTTCTGAAAATAGAATTCGTTTTGAAATAACTAAGCCATTCCTGTGAACACAGATGACATTTTTGTCAATGATGACCACATTTTCCAAAACAAAACCCCTCCGAGGGATGCAATGCTGCCCTACAGTCTCAGCACCCTCCGGGCAGGTCCAGCAGTATGGCCAGGCTCACACCTGCTGCTGGCGCAGACCAAGTTCTGCTCGGGGCACAGGAAGACATCCAGCCTCATGCAGGAAGGCAGCAGCAGCAGAGGGTCCTCAGCCCCCCTCTCCACGGGTCTCAGGCCTCACATCCCAGGCACCTGCCCAGACACCCACGGGCCTCCCTCCCCTCTCTCTACACTGCCTGGAATGGGGAGGTGGGCAGGAGATTGGGTCTCAGTGGAAGACAGGAGGTGGGAGATGTCTGCTGGCCTGGGGGAGAGCAGGCTCGGGGGGGTGGTTGGGATTGCAGGACCCCCGAGTGAGAGGCAGGGCTCAACCCCATAGCAGAGAGCTCCACACACGTGCTGGGGTCTCAACGGGGAAAAGTTCAGATGTGGAAGACAACCCAAGACACAAAGGGGAAACACACCATGGCAGAAACAGACAGGTAACAGCACAGCAGCCAGCGCTTCCTACAAGCCTGGCGCGTGCCGACCCACAAAGCCACTTCACTCTGCGCACAGCTCATCCCCACAAGCCTCTAACTGGGGCCACGATGATCTTTACCCTGAAGCTGAGGAAACTGAGGCACAGAGAGGTGAGGTCACTTGCCCAAGGCCACCCAGCTGGTAAGTGGTGGAGAAGGTTTCAGACCCAGGCATCTGGTTCCTACACCCCTGTTCTCTTTACTGCCCTCAAAGGAACAAGCCCAGATAACAAAGGCTGCATTAACAGCCCCAGGACAGGAACAGGATGCCAAGAAAGGCGCTTTCAGATAATACAGAGGCGCAACAAGAAGCCAACATGGGGAGCAGCAGCAAAGGGCTCCAGAGAAGGGGCAGGCCGAGCAGGGGTCTCCAAAAACCAGAGCACGATGACATGCGGGGGCGGGGGCAGGCAGAGGAAGTGACCAGCCCTGCGCAGGCGCCTCTCCGTCCAAGTGAGGGAATTCCAGAAAGGGCAGGAGAGCCAGGGGAACAGACTCAGCAGGAACAGCTTTCACACCAATCCCAAGCTGGAGCTCATTCCAACTGGCTAGGGGCTCCTCATGCCCCATGAGACCTCAGGGCACCTGGGCAGGAAACCAAGCCCGACATCCAGCATTAGAACCCACGGTGACCGGGAAATCCCTACACCTCCAGTGCTGGGGGGAGAACCGGTGTGAAGGCCAAGGGGCCCCCAGACCGCCCCTCCATGCATGTTTTCTCGGGGGTGAGCTCTGCCAAAAACCAGGAACCATCTGAGGAGGGAGGAAGGCCTGGACTGCCTGCAACCAGAGGAAGCTGGAGGGCACCCAGGGCAAAAGCTGTGTCCAGGCAAGGAGGGCAACCTACTGACAAGGCCCAGGCAGAACGTTCTAGAGAGACTTCAAGAAGATGAAGGCTGAACCGCTAATGTGAAGGAGCGTGAGACTGGGAGAGCTAGAGGAAAGCTTCAGCTAGGCTCCTGAGAAGCACAAAAAACATCAGGCAAACAAAGGCAGTCACAAATTCCAGGGAAAACAAAAGGTTGGGCAGAGACGGAAAACCACCCTGGTTTCCGATGACTAGGCTGATCCCAGCAGCACACACAGCTCTAATTAGGAAAGCCCTACTCTCCGTGAGAGTGTGACAACCCTGTAGCTACACCAGAAGGGGGGAAGCAGGAAGTGTGTGCATGTGTGTGTGCATACATGTGTGGACATATGTGTGTGTACGTGTGCATATACATGTGTATACATACGTGTGTACATGTGTACACGAGGGCATAAATGTGTGTGTATGTGTGTATGTATGCATACATGTGTGTGCATGTGTGTGTGAGCGTGTACATGTGTGTGCGTGCACACATGCATGTATACGTGTACATGTATTCATGTGCATGCATGTTTGTGTGCCTATGTGTGCGTGTGTGCACTGCTGGGTGTGTGTGCATGAATGTGTGTACATATGTGGGGGGTGTGTGCCTGCGTGGGTGTGTGTGCTTGTGGGTACCTGTGAGAGAGCAGGTACCTGTGTATGCAGAGACTTGAATCCTCACCTTGCAAGTCAAAAAACAATGTCTAAACATTTAAAAACTCCAGAAGCAATACAGGACTATTAAGGGAGACCTGTGGGGATCGCTCACATGTGAGGCCCCTGGGAAATGGGCCTCGCCATACGGTGAGCTTGAGCCCGGACACAGATCCCCGGTTGGGGGAGTCAAGCTGAGGGAAAGCAGGAACCGAGAGAGGGACTATGTTCTTCTAAATAATTAACAGACATTACTTTATGGATATGAGGACTTGGGAGGCATTGTGACCACTTTCAGTTCCTTATGGTTTATTGCTTGATTGTGTTCATTTTGGACCCTTGTTACCTTCATTGTAAAATATTAAGTATTTACACTTGGCAACTTACCGTAACTTACTGGGTGTAACTGTAACTTATCATAACTTACTGGGCGTGACTGTAACTTACTTACCTTGACCTACTGGGGGTAACCTACTTACTGGAAGTAACCTACTTACTGGGCGTAACCTACTTACTTACTGGGCGTAACTTAGGGGGTGTAACTTGCTTACTGTAACTTAAGTACGTTGATCTGGTGTAAATAACTTTAACTTCAGAAAAGTATATAATGAAACATATTGCAAAAATAAAATTGCTGCATGAGCATAGCGCATGTAGCCCTCCAGACCTCGCCTTTTCTATCTCCTTTTTTCCGGCGCACGCTCTCTTCCAGGTTTGGGACCCTCTCGCTGGACGAGATTCCCGGGCTCGCGCTCAGTTCACAACAGCCTATTATTTCAAGAAGAGTTTCATATCAAAAGAATCTACTAGGAGATGCAGACACTGTTGACTCTGGGGAGGGGGATGGAGGGTGGCTGGGGATGACTGTTTTTCTTCATTAACTTTGCACAACTCATTTAACTCACTCTCTAAACTACATGCATGAATAATTTTAAAGTATTAAAGCTGCATTTGTAAAACTGCAATGAAACAACACCTAGAAAGACGTGTCTGGAAACCATGAGGAGGGCTGCCAGCGGGTTGTGCCTTCAGCAGACAAGAGCCAGGTGGGCACCCAGGGCTCTCCTCAAATCCCTGGGCGGTGGCACCTACCTTTGTCCCATGTGGCCCAGGGAGGTACAGCTGATGCTGGACACAGCCCAGTTCTACAGACACACCCCTCATGCTCCAGTGCCACTGTGCCAGCAGGCAGGCCTGTTCTGGCCACAGGACATGAACTTCCATGGAGGAGCCAGCACTAACTGTCCGGGGCGAGGGCTCCTGCAGAGGTTTTCAGAGAACTTGGGAGGGGCACTGGAACCCCACGTCGGGGGTCCACCAGTCCCAGGGAAGTGGCTCAAGGGACCCTGAGCACAGGGCACTGCTTGCCATCCCCTAAAATGACGGTGTGGCACTGATGGGGTCAGCCAGGCCTGACGAGACTTGTGTTTGGGGGGGCTCCCTCTGCTTCAGGATAGAGAGCAGGCTGCTGGGGGCACGTGAGGGGCTGGCAGGGCAGTGAGCAGGCGGCAGCAGAAGCCAGGACATGGGGAGGAAGGGAGGGTCTGGCACGGAACCCAGACAGAATCAAGGACAAGTCCCAAGTTCTGGCGCAGAAGGCAAGCAGACAGT